TACGAACTTGTATTCCGTCTCAGGCCTTGCGGTTGTATCCCTGGCATTTTTGCGGGAAAAAAAAAATCACTGGTTTTATGGTCTCTTAAGCTTTTCTCTCAGCTTTACAGTCACTACATTTTTAGGGATGTTTTTGAGTGCTGTACAAAGGTGTTTAACTCGGAGCAATGAACCATTCAATACAATCGTTAGAGTGTGTACAGCCAACGAAAAACGAAAAATGAATAATACCGCAAAGTCGAGCCTTCTTACCTCCACTTCATTTTTCCTTGCTTCGTTCCAGCGAATTTAAATGCCATGTCATCGACTTTTATCTTCAGATACCAACGAAATCACTGCAGCGTGGTATAATTCTTATTTTCGGAGCTATTCGCAAAACAGTTCTATTCATATCTTTCATTTCTTCGTACAGGTAGGTGGTAGTGGAGGAAAAAGACCTGGGGACATTACCTCCTGTAAGATTGTCAAGACCTTCCTTGGCCTGTAATGAGTCTTGGGCTAAATTCCAAAGCTTTTGGTATCTAAAGAAACTGTTGCTTGCTCTTGGCAGACACGTGAAACAAGGAAAGCACGTCTAAGGCCACTGTTTCAGTGTACCTCGATATTTCTTTGTTTTATAATGGATTATTTAAGCCGGATAAATAAACTAATACTTTTCAGTTTAATAGTCAGTTAAGCTCCGGCTTCTCATATTGTCCATAACATATTACGAACGGATTGCAGAAGGTGCCATTTACAGTGTATTGGTCCATTCAGATTCGCTAGTGTTCATGATCGAAGACACTTAAAAGATTGGCCCTGCTTATTGTGCGAGGCTATGGAGGCTCTTATAGTGGAGAAAAATCCTTTGAGATATGAAAAAATTCTGGTCTCTTACTCGTGGAAGGAATACTCCGTAGATATCACTGACCACATTTTATAATCAAGTTACAATGATTTTTCAAGAAAACATCTTACTTCCTTTTTTCTGCATCCCACCAATCAACCCTGTACAATCCAACATTAGTAGGCATATTCTCCATCCTGTTTTATCTTTCTAATTCCTAACAAGGATATTTTATAGCGATCAACACCTTTTTAATTGATGATCATTTCATTTATTCTTGTGACCTTAATATATGATTCAGGGGTGATATTGAAAGGAGTAATTAGACGCTAGTCACCAACAGAGAAATACAACAATGCTTACTGCGAGGTTGATGTACGGCGATCTTCTGAGAAAATA